AAATCTTTTCATTTTTAACTTAAAATACTTTATGGTTTCACAAAAGCATTTTTGTACAGTTTCCTCTTTTACCCTCTGTGAACATTAATGTCCAGATTTCTTTAGTTAACGCAAAACATTAAAATTCACTTTTGTATTTTGAGTGAACAAGCCAAAGCATTAAATCTCGCTTTATATTTCACCCAGGAAATAGACAAATCACCTAAAATTTACCTTCTGCATATCATATGCCAGAAACAGCGGCACGAGAGCTGAACTTCAAAATGAAAACATCAAAGGAATAACAATTAACAGTAACATCTGGACATTCTGAAATTAGATGTCATAAATTTTTTATAAAAATGCAGAAAGGTCTCTCAAGATAAAATGTGGTGGAAAATAACTTGTCCTATGATGCAGGCCACAAACTAGTAATTGAGCAGAAATGGAATCTTGATCTCAAAACAAAACCAAAAAGCACCTTCTGGTTGCTGTTCCCAACATCCATACAACACAAACACCTCCCCATACCCAGTGAGCCACCACATCCCCAACACCCCATTTACTTCTCCCACCACGGGCCTGCCCACGCCCAGCAGACACGCCCCGACAGTCCAACCTCCCCACACAGACGCTCTCCCACAGAACACAGACCTCATCCCAGGCACAGGCGCCCACTGACACTCCAAACAGAGAGACTAACGCATTTTATAAGCCCAAGCATGACGGTGCAGCCCAATCTGCTTAGAGCATTTACTTTAAGAACCCAGTTAAAGTTGACATCTTTGAACTTTGTACATTGACAATTCCTCAGCCTATTCAACACCAAATCCTTTTAACTGTAATGATTTAGAAGCAATCAGTTTTAAAACGAAACCAGTTAACTACACATTCAAGTTAACACTGCTCTGCTTTTTCAGTATAAAAAGTGCCTTTTGGTATGGGAATTTCTATTCCATCCACTGCAATTAAACAATGCGTAGCTCACATTTTGCTTTAAAGAGTAAACTGAAAAATTATGAAACATTTTCTCTGTGATGCATAACCTTCATTAATTAATTTGTTTTAAATAAACGAACTGGCTTGGGGTCTTTTTTTCTATAAAACTCTACTATTCATCAAGTCTTATTTAAGGTAGCCTTTTATTCTGATTAATTCAGATACATCTTCAAGGATTATTCTGGTGGTAAGAACATTTATCTTGACTTAAGTTTAATTGATTTTTTTAATGCTTTGGCAGATGAAGTTTGAAAACTGTTGGTGAAAACAGTATGAGACTGGAAAGGTAAGCCGTGGACTGGAAAGGTAAGCCGTGGACTGGAAAGGTAAGCCGTGGACTGGAAAGGTAAGCCGTGGACTGGAAAGGTAAG